TATTTTTTAAACATGTTTTAATTGATAAACGATTATGTATATTAATTTGATAAATGTTTAAAATGAAACATTTAAAAGTAAAAGACGTAAAGTAAATTAATTAACTAATTATAGGGGTATAAAGTGTAAATTTAAAATTATAATTTTAAAAAATCGGTTGTGAGAGGGTGACTGTATGTGAGGGGGTGAGTGTACGTGAGGAGAGGAGGGGTGAAAAAGTGATATAAAGGGTATCTTGGTCATTTAGTATTTTAAGACTTTTATGACTTTTGTTAACTTTGTTTTATAAGTTAGTATAGATATAGATAAAGGTTTAAAATGAAACATTTAAAAGTAAATGACGTAAAGTAAATTAATTAACTAATTATAGGAGTATAAAGTGTAAATTTAAAATTATAATTTTAAAAAAATCGGTTCAATGTGAGAGGGTGAGTGTATGTGAGGGGGTGGGTGTATGTGAGGAGAGGAGGGGGTGAAAAAGTGAAAAAGTGAGGTAGTATAGATAAGGGTATCTTGGTCATTTAGTACTTTAAGACTTTTGCTAAATTTGCTTTATAAGATAGTATAGATAATCGATTAATAAAAATGTAATTCAATTATTTTTATAATTATTTATAGTTTTTTTATAAATTAATTATAAATAATGGAATCCAATTCCATTCCAAATCCTACAAACCAAACACACCAATGATTTCAAATCCATTCCAATCCAAATCCCTCCATGAAATCTAAATCCCTAAAAAACAATCTTGCAAACCAAACGGACCCTTAGTTTTTTTATAACGTGGAAGGAAATTTTTCTGATTAAGGTAAGTTTGGTTTCAATTTCTCTTAGGAGCATGGAAAAGAAATCTTAATGCAGTTATTGCATAACATCAGGGCATATTAACCTCATCGTCCCTGTGGTGGTTTGGGTTCCTGTGCTTAGGTAGCTTGTTTCTGTGACAATTCATAGTAAAGATTCATAGGTGCAACTGATAGTGAACTCACAAGAATTTAGTTTTTTTACCTCTTCTTTTTTATGTGTTGCTTTTGCTTAATTTGGCATGCATGATGTGCCTACAAGCTCTCATCTTATTTTGGTTTTTGGTGGTTTCTTGTTGATAAAATATCATCATGATTTGCTGCATGAGTTACTTCCATATAATCCTTTGCTCATCCAGAATGTTAGGATATGCTTGAAGTGCTCACTTCTATCAGGGGTCTCTTATCACAGTGAATTTCTTTTCATTTGGTGTTTCTTAATCATTTGACCATTTTTTCTGTCTCCCTATCATGAAACATTCTAGCATTCTACTCGAGTTAAAATCATCTGTTTAAGTTCTGGCTCAACTTGGTTTGCCACCTGTCAACAAGGCTTAGTGTTTGTGAAAGGATGAAATGTAATTATCTTGATCAAGGTGATATCAGTCCTAGTTTCTCTCATAGTTTGGGAAAGAAAGGTAAGTTAAAAAACGAGAACTCTTTTCATTGCCTAATTGTGGGTTTGTGTTCCGGTTCAGATTCCTTATGTTCAAGTTGCTTCTTCTTCTTCTAGGGGAAATGTGTGCTGAGTTTTTCTTCTCAACCTATTATTTTACCCACTTCTAGTGCCACTTTAGCATAATCATGGTTTACTATATGGCATCATTCTAGATTATTGATTTTGATATAGTGCTTCGGATCATATGACGAGGAACAAAGACGTACACTCGGCAGTTAAACTCTACTCCCAGTCTCTTATAGAATCGTCTTTGGCCCAACTTGCTCCAAATCCAATGGTGGTTGAGGCTCCCCTAAAGATAGCTGTATTCCATTTTCCTGGGAGGCTCATATTTGTTGGTCAAATGAATTATTGCTCAGTGATAATCTTTCACACTCACTGTGATTTCAGGACTTAGGGACGGCTGGCAAAAAAACTTTATCTAGCTTTATCTGTTGGACATGTCATTAACTTGGCTCTCTTATCAAACATGAAGAAGCTATGACCAACCATTTAGTACAACTGTACAAGTTTTCTTGTTGATCATATCAGTTAGTTCCTTGGGAGGAGGGTTATATGAGTCGGCCACCTAGTTTTGTTGTTCAAGAGGGACAACAAAAGTATGTTGTTATATAAGGTTAAATCTGTTTGACTGAAATAAGCCGGAACTTAAACGTCTTAATACAAAGAGATTTTAATCAAACTGTTAGTAGATGTGGCAAAGTTCAGAGCTGCACAGAAGTAAGCTAGATGAGATTCAGGATTTTCAGTAATCATCTTTAGGAAGTCTACTGAACAACTCAAAGCCTCTGATTTAATAATCATATTCTGTGAATCAACCAAAAACTTGTAAGCAAATATGTTTGGGAACCAACGTTGCTTACACCATCTTGTTTGCTTCTCAGGCGACAGAGGAACGTTACAAAAATAAAGGAGCATACATTGTCCTAGAATCTCCTAATTTTGACGCCCCCGTCTTTCATAGTTTTGAAGCGATCATGCCAAGACCCAAGGTATGATGTTTTATTCTTCTTTCCTTTTTACCAAGTACTTCTTCTATTTGCAATATTTTTCTTTTTCTCCAATGTCCTATAATACTTGTAATATTTCTTTTTTCTTTTTGGTAAACCTGAAGTTGAATTATGCATCTATCATTACAAATAAAGTGATAACATCGACTCAGGTCCACATGATTCTTTTACTTGATTGAAGGGTGTTTTGGGTATTTGACAAATAAACGTGTCAAATAAAAGTTGCAATTTTCATGAGACGAATAAAATGTCCAGAAGACAAAGTGAAGAACTATTCGAATGTAGCGTTAAGCAAACTTTTAAACAGAGGGAGTAGAATCTTTACAACAGTTTTCATTTGTTTCAAGAAATTTGTATAATTTTTTAAATAGCTAACCGTGATAAGATCTCCTGGTTACAGGTGAACCCATACTATGACTTCGAGAATGTGATCGACTCTGATGAAGAATTAGATCTAATGATGATGGTGGAGGCTTCCTGAATGATTCCATCATCATCTGTTGTAATTTCCGGATTTTGAACAAGTTTTTTGTTTGCATCTGTTCTTGGTTGCATAGTGCTTGGTATAGAAGGTTAAGTGTTGATGAACTGCCCTTGCAAAGTTGCAAATGTAGATTTGGTATATTAAGTTTATATGGTTACATTTGGGCAGTTATAATTCATTTTAACGATGCTGTTAGAGGTTTGTACTTGATGCCTAGGAAGTTGTACATTGGCTTTTTGATCTTTTCTATTATTACTTACATTCATGTAACAATTTGGTTATATTCATAGAATAGCCCAAGGTAAGTTGATGTGTGCAATTGGTTACATCATTCGATAGAACAGAAAACACGGGCAACAAATGGACACGAAGCCATGTGTTTATTGGTTTGCATTAAATGGTTTTGTTTTTATGATACGATCGATTATGGGTTGATGTAGATCCGTTACTCGTTTCTAGCCCATCCTACGTTTCTAAAAAAATCAATCGTTTCTAATTCCATGTATATGGAAATGTTCGTATTCATCGAAGGGGTCACCCATTCGGGACCAATACCATGCAACTAGATCTAGATGTGTGGCTATTGGGATTACGAATTTGTGCCTTTTGTCACCTTCTAATTCGATTTTTTCCTTCTAAATGTAGTCGTCTTTTGTAGTGTTTATATTATATGATTTATGGCTAATCCTGCATCCATAATTGAAAAGTATAATTAGTTGGATGGGAAGAGTCATTTGTATTTGGAATTCAATAAAAGGATAATATACTACCAAACTGGTCACCTTTTTCGATGGTAAAATTCGCTGGAAAACAGAGTTTCTGGCGGATTTGACCGCCAAAAAATGAGGCGCTGGTGATTTTCTTTCTGGCGGAAAATGGCCGCCGGAAATTAGCCACTTCTTTTTTGAGTTTATTCAGAAAATCTTAATTAAATTAAGAAATTATTAACAAGATATAAAAAAAATTGAATTAAATTAGCGGTGGAAGTGTCCGCAGGTGATATCTCTGCAAGAAATTTAATTTAATTTTTAAAATTATTATCTTTAAATATTTTCGACGGATTTATCCGTTGGTAATCTGCCAGAAAATCACTCAGCTCTAGATTTCTTTAAATATTTGAAACCTGTAAATATTTAAAAAATGTTAAAAAGATAAAATGTCACTAAATATCATACATTAAACTAAAAAAACAAGAAATGTCCAATACAATTATCTAGACCAAAGTAACACCCAATTGTTTCAAACAAAAACTAAATTGTTCTAAAACAAACAAATATATTAATTAATATGACGGTGGAAACTGCGGAGATTGACCGACCAACTTGACCAAAACAACCATCTTTTCATATTGTTTCTCCCGTTTCTCATCCAACACCCGTCGACGTTCCTCCTCCTCCTCCGTTTCGTCCGTCGACACTCATTTTCTTCCTGTAAATCTCAAAGTTGAATTCGCATAAATTAAAACGTGATAATCACAAAAATAATGTTAGATGTGCAATGGGGAACAAATGGTGGTCTGACAAGGCACGTGTCAATGATTTATTTTTCTGCTTTTATCTACCGATTGATTTGAAGACCACACCATCACCTAACCACCATTTTACCATATGCTTAATAATCATTGATGTAAATGTTGGTTAGTTATTATAGCTTTTGAATACTTTTCCAAAGTCGCAAAACAAGTAGGATCTTATAAACTCAAAATTAACAAAAATCAACGGTTTTTAATGACTTATTTATGGGCAAAATAGATACCACATGTTAATCATGTATTTATAAGTTTATAATTATGGGTCTCTTTAATATTAGCTTAATGGACTTAATATCTTATTCGGTTTAAAATAGATATATAAAAAAGTCCGGTTAAAGTTTTATTCAACATAACAAACAAACAACAAATATACATAGTTTAATTCATACATGATTTAATAGAAAATCAACCAACTACCCCTCATATCTTATAAGTAAAAAAAAAAAAAACATTTTCTAGAGTCGAATGAGTGTTAGGTATTAGTTCCATTATTTTCTCTCGAACTACGTAAAATAAATAACCAATAATGATTGAAATCATTATTATTTTATTGTTAAATTATTTTATTTATCCTACTATTCCATTTATCATTTTATATCAAGAAATTAGACTTGTATGATTCAAGTAATATAATTATAGTGTAAAATGAATTAAAATACGATAAAAGTTTTCTTTTGTTTTTATTTAATGTAATGAATTTTTTTTTCATTGATCCAACAAACTTTCCATCCTTTATATTTTTTATATTCAGAGTAAATTATGTTTTTCGTCCCTGTATTTTTTATTTTCATTTTTTTTATACTGATAAATAATCACTGTAGTTTGCATTTCTTTTCTTTTTTCGTTCTTGAGGCTTACACTGTTTAGTCACGAGGCATGACAATGTTTTAACTTTTTATTAAAAAATTAAATAAATATATTATTATTAAACATTTTCTTTATCTTTCTCTCTTCACCCCAACGGTCCCCCTGACTCTAACTCCCACATCTTAGACTGATCATCTTCTCTTGTAATAGCCACTGCCTGCAACTATTTACCATCGCAACCAAAAAAACGTATTTTGTAAATCGTTGAATTTGAATTGTATTTTGTAACTATAGTTAACATTTATTAAATTAAATTTATTTTATATTATAATACTTATTTTCTGATATTTTGAAAAAAGTTTCGGATGAGCCACTGTTGTAAACTGCAAATCTTCCAACAAGCATTCAACCTTACATATTTTGTACTCTTTCGGAAAGAATGAAAGATTCTACAAAATATCTGTGACCGACATAAAACACAAAAGATTGAACGTTTATTACATTAATTGAGAAAACGAATTTATCTCATCAAATAAGAATTAGAAACAACCTTGTTGTAGGTTTATGAATTTTATTTATAACTTATAATAATACTAGTTGTGTATTCGCGTAATGCGGCGGGAGCCATGAATTTTAACGATTTTGAAGTTCCACTGGTTTTATAAGATAAAATTTAACGATAATATAGGTTACATTTGATCTTTACATATTAATACAATTTGAATAAATAAGAGTTATGGTTTCAATTACAGACTATCGATGAAAAAATTTGTATGACAGTTTAAAATCCAATATATTTAAAATTCAACATATTTAAACGACTCCACAAATGTATTCGATTTACACCAAGAGCAAAGAACCAAGAAAATTGAGTTTTAAGATAAACACTCAAAACCAATAAAGAAAACTACAAATTTGACAGATCATAAGCCATGAAAAGACAAAAAAAAATGGGTTTTAGAATGAAATTTCAACTTTCTTGTCCAGAAACCCAGATTAAGATTGAATTAATACATGTATATATATATATATATATATATATATATATATTTCAAAAAAACCCAAGAACATATTAATTCAAAACATATTATACAATGCAATTTAGACAGCCTAACCCCAAAATATATAGTATATATATAAATAAATAACTATAAAAGTATAAATCGTAAATATTAAAAATATTTTTTCACAGTATATATAATATATAATAATATAATTAAGTCAAAAACGATTCAATATTGGACTCATTTCGAAGGTATTAACGAGACGATTATAATAGTGTAACTTTTTAAAATAAAAATGTATTTCTTAAACATGTTTTAATTGATATACGATTATGTATGTTAATTTGATAAATGTTTAAAATGAAATATTTAAAAGTAAAAGACGTAAAGTAAATTAATTAATTAATTATAGGGGTATAAAATGTAAATTTAAAATTATAATTTTTAAAAAATGTTGTGAGAGGGTGAGTGTATGTGAGTAGATGAGAGGGTGAAAAAGTGAAAAAATGAGTATAAAGGGTATTTTGATCATTTGGAATTTTAAGACTTTTGTTAAATTTACTTAATAAGATAATATAGATATAGATAACATGTAACTATACTAAATTTCTACTCGAATAAAAAATTAAAAAACATAAGAATACAATCATCGATTCATTTATTTTTATGACATACATTATTTCACAAATGATGTGATGAAGACGACACGTTTGGTTCCCAAATTGTATGATTTTGGAAATTAGAATACTTAACTGATTGTTTTCATATTCAATCATTAATCATCATTCTTTATATTGTTTTAGTATAAAAAAATACAAAAATATCAATTCTTCTCTAAACTTACGACCACTTTTTATACCAACACGTGACGTTATAAACATTTTTTTTGTTATAATATATAGAATATATATATATATATATATATGATGTTTTTATATTTATTTAAATGTGTATATCGTATCTATATATGCGTTTTTAAATGTTAACAATCATATTATTTAACCAAATTAAATTATTAGTTCATAGTTAATTCTAAATTAAAACTAGTTACAAACACAAAAATACCATAAGCATTCTAGTAACAAAATCAAGTAATCTCCTTGTCTGAATCCTTTTGCGATAACATTTTTAGTGTTTAAGAATTATTGCATTTTGATTTGGGTTATACTCATCGGTTTATAGTTTTGTGGATGCTGTAGGTTCTAGAATTTTAATGATCTATCTATTTGTTTGTCTGTGACGTAGAAGCGACGGTAAAACGTGGGAGGAAGGCGGGTGGCGACGACGAGAAGCTGCAAGGCAAACAAAGATGACAAGACAATTGTGGCAATAAGATAGCAACAAGGAGGAAAGTGAGCAAAGGAAATACGAGAAGAGGGCAAGGTTTTTTTTTCCTAAGTGTCCGATCAGTTTGTATGCACCTCAATTAATCATATATATATATATATATATATGACATGAAGATAACAATTCGGAAATGAATGATGATGAGGAAAAACCGGTTGATATCTTGTAGGATTATTTTATATATTTAAAAATTGTCAAAACGGAAATTTGAATGCTTTTAATCTCGTGAGTAGAAAGATTGAGGTTTGAAACTAAAGAAACTTATTCTCGAACATAAAAATTTCTATAATATCTAACATGAATACATATGTGAACTCAAACCCTACAAAGTGTGAGGTTGTGACGATTTGAGTGATGATGTGTAGAATCTTCAATTCATCGGTGGACATGAGTTTTTCTAAAAATATGCTTTTATAAATAAATTGACATGGAAATTCGAAGGTAAAGTTTTTTTTAAGGAATAGTTCATTTATCTTATTATAGCTGTCATAGTTGGTTTTTATGCATTTTGGTATTTGAAAAAGACATGTTCATGTTTATTCATAATCCAAAAACATGTTGTTTATCACTGATATATATGCGTTGCACAATGCTCAAAAAATAATAATCTTAGAATGATTT